ACCTTGAACTTGGCCTCTTTCACTTCATAAGGGACCTTAAGCCCGTCAAGCTCCATGTGGATCTCCCCCCTTTAGCAAATCAACAGCACCGCTCAGCCTGGCGTCACCTGCAACCTCAATCCCACCGTGCCACTCATGAAGGAGACTGAGGGGAGACCTTCTCACTCTCTACAATTCCTTGAAAAGGAGGGTGTAGCAAGGCAGAGGTTGGTCTGTTCTCCCTCATGGCAAGTGATAGATGAGGGGAAATGGCCTCAAGCTGCACCAGGGGAGGTTCAGGTTGGATATTAGGGAGAATTTCTTTACTGGGAGGGTTGTCACGCACTGGCACAGCCTGCCCAGGGAGGGGTTGAGGCACCATCCCTGGAGGGGTTTCAGAGACGAGTGGATGTTGTGTCGAAGGACGTGGGTTAGTGGTGGTCATAGGGCTGGGAAAAGGTTGGACTTGGTGACCTTGGAGCTCTCTTCCAGCCAAAAGTGTTCTATGACTCTATAAGGTACTGGTCCCAGTACAGACCCTCGAGGCACAAATCTTGTTACAAGTTTCCAGCAAGACGTGATCTACGGCTCTTTGGCCATGACCATTCTGCCTGCGCAGACCTGGGCTGGTTCATCCTCAGGAGGGTCATTCCCGCCGGTTGTACAGGTCCGTAAAGCCACGGGCAGAGGCGCTGCCTCGTTGCAATTAGTGACAAGGTTGACAAAGCAAGAGGAGCTGGCAGGGCTCCCGAGCGGACCCCACACTCCGACCACAACCGTCTCCGGAAGAAACACAGACGAAACCTTTCAGAGCGAGTTTTAATCCCAAACAACGCTCCAGCATCATCGCACCTGCCCAAATCTTACCATTACGAACCACTAAAAATCAGACAATCGGGTATTTATACAAAAAACATCTTCGTGGTGCACCGTGCTCTCTCCAAGCAGAGGTCAAGGCGTTCCGAGCCCGGTGTCTCGATGTCTAAACCCAGAGAAGCATCAGGGTATCACAGTGAGGGGGCATCTACCAAAACACAAGCGGAATCTACACTGTTGGGTGAAGAAGTGAGTTGGTTTGGGGGTTTTTGTGCAGGGCACAAGGTTTTTTTTGTCCTTGGTGGCATGCAGGGGGGGAAGCCTGGGGTTAACTAACGGCACAGGCAACCCTAAAGGTGCCACATAAAAGCAGGAGAGGTCCTAAGAAGTCCATAAAGTTATTTTTCCTCCCATATGCTACAGATTTAGGTACTTTACGTTTGAAAATAACAACCTTGGTATGAAAAATCCTGATTTCAAAACAACGGGGCTCTGACCACCCCCTCCCAGGCCAAGGAACGGGATGGTCACCAACCTCCAAGCTGCCCAAAACTTGGACCTCAAGCAAGCTCAAGTCAGCAGAGCCTCTCCCAACTCAGTGTCTTTTTCGGTTTTTCGAAAATCAAGAGGTAGAACAGATACTTCACAGTCACACTCGCTCTAAAAGTGACGCAACCGCCGCATTACTCATCTTCGGGCACCACCTTCCAGAAGACACCGAGGCCTTTGTTTGCTGGCGCTAAGCTTAGGGCGTTCGCTTCCTTGTGCAAAGTCCCTTGAAGACAGCAAAAAAATTAAAAAAATAATTAAAAATGCCAACTCTGTTTGCCTTCCATGTCTTCCCTTCTCTGCTGCCAAGGGCACAAATCCTTCTTTCACACGTGGAGGGGAAGAGTGGCTCCTCTCCGCCCCGTCCAGCGAAAGCGTTACAAGGAGTTAATTCTTCAGTGCTGCTTTCTTCCAAGCCATGGGTTTTAGCCACACCTTGGTTTTTTGGACAAACTTCACATAGTTGAGAGAAAAGCTGCTATGGTTAAGCTCGTGGCCTTAAGAAGCCCGGCCAGCAGCGCCCAGGAGCGAAGCCGACTGTCCCAAAGATGATTTTCACGGGTGAAAGCAAAGCCCTGTTCCCAGCTGGGCTCCCCTGAAGCAGTGGGGTTATTTCAGACCGCTCCTCGTGCTGCCGGACCCGTTGCAAAGCTGGGGGAGAAAGCCACGGGAGAGGGCAGGCGGTCTGAAACACTCAACTGCGTTTGCAGTTTGGGGAGCCCAGGAAGGGGACGGATAAAAGCGGGGCTGGCCCTGGTTTGGGTTTTATTTGCGATAGGATTCAGGCCCTGATTCGGATTAAAGGGTGAAGGGAGTCAAATAATAGCCAGAACGTAATAAAATAAAGCAGAGTCAGTTGAGGAGTTTCACTTAACATCCGTGATTCCGACAGCTCCTTTCATTCCCATCAATCCCCAAACTCTGTTATCTCCAGAGCTGCTAATTCTCATCGTGATTTGGGTCGGCTGCAGGGATTCCCAGCTCTCCAGGCTACATCTGTGGGAAAGATGATGCCCCTACTCAGGCAGTAACTGTGATAAAAACTCGCAGCCAAAATATTGCGTCGGTTTAATCTGGCATCTGCTTTGCCTCTACTCTGAGCTGTAAAACGCAACGGCTCAGTAGGTGCTTCCCCACCAGCTGCGAAATCCCCGCAGGATTAAAAGAACCGAAGGCGAGACAGGTTGGATAAAAGATTAAAAAAAAAATCTCAACCTCATTTTTCACCTGCAGTTTAGACTCTCCTGGAACACCCTGCCCTTCAGATGTGGCCATGATGAGTGGATGTCTTAAAAAAAAAAACCCTGCTACTGAAAAAGCCTGGTTATTGCCACCAAGAGGTGCTTGGATCTCTCAGGAAGTCCCTCCTGGATGCACTAATTGATGTCTCTTAAAAGAGGTTACAAAAAAAGAAAAAAAAAGGAATAACCAAACTTCAGGACCTACCAGAGAGGTAACTTAAAGAGAGAGAGAAAAAAAAGAAAGATGATGTAAATGGGAGTTTGTTATTTTATTCTCGGCTGTTCGAGGAGTCTTTTTACATCGAAAACTTGGGACTTGACTTCATTTCACCAGCTTAAGCAGCATTAAAAAGCAACCTAATAAGGGATTTCATTTTGTAACACGAGGGCAGGTTTTCACCCCAGATTACCCAAAGGTGCCTTCCCTAATGCAGATTTATCTGGAACGACACACATTTTGGGCAGAGGAAGCTTTTCTGGCAAGATACGACGCGAAACCTTTCTCCTATCAATGACAGGGATAAACCCCACAATAACCATCCCCGGGGCTTCCCTGAGCTTCTGGGCAATTTCACATTCCTGACACTTTTAAACACAAAACCTGGAATTCTAAACAGACAATCCACCAAGGAGCAGGATCTCGAGCTTGTTTCTCTCCAGCTCTGTATGATACAGAAAAAAAAAAAAAACAAAAAACAAACAAACAGCAAAACAAAACCAAACAACAAAGGGGCACGGGGGGAACGAACATAATCAAAAATTAAAAAAAAAGTGCTGGTCACCGATAAAGTGCATTCAGTTCCACCTCAGCTCTTCAACCCTGTGCTTACGGGATTTTCCACCTCCCTCCCAAGGCCGAGCCCCAGCGTGCTGGCTGGGAAAGCACGAAAGACGTCGGAAGCCCTGAGTTAGCGCGACGCCACGTTAGACAGAAGATCTCGTAACATTTTGCTGTCGTTTGGAGGAGGAATTTGTTCTCCTTGCGGGGCAAAACCTTCTCCTGGGGGTATCAGGGAGTTCCATCCCCTTAGTACCACAGATCCTGCAGGTTTACTGCTTTCAGGCAGCACAAAAAGTCTCATCTGGAAGGTCATAGGATCATAGAATCATAGAATCATAGAATGGCCTAGGCTGGAAGGGACCTTAGAGATCATTTAATCCACATTTAATCCCTGTCATGGGCAGGGACACCCCTCAACTAGATCTGGCAACACACGGGGACCGAATTGGGATCGAACGACACTTTTGGCTCCACTCACACAAACGTCGTCCTGAAGGTTTAAAATCCCTGAAGGATGAAGCCGTGGTCACGCCTGCTGAAGCCAGAGCACGATGCTCAGGTTTGGCTCCCTCTGGAGAGGCTCCAGCATTGAGACAGGAACTCGGGGCGGGGGGAAATGAAAAGAAAAATCTCAAAACTCAAGGCAGAGCACAGTCTTCCTGCTGCCTTTCAAGGCGGGGATCTGCCGCGCAAGGGACATGCCCTCGTCGTACTTTGGGCGGCAAAAGGCAGCATCTCCACCACTTATTGCACGTGAAACCAAGAGAGCAGCCACGGTGGCTCAGAGCAAGTGGAAAAAGCGTGTTTGGGACCAGCCATCTGGAGGGAAACATCCTTGGACGTGCAGAGAGAGCGGCTTCCTCAGCCGTGGTGATACCCTAGAGGAACGCTCCGGTGTGAGTTGGCTCATCTTCAGCGAGGAAGGAGCGTGGATAAAGTCAACCATGGTCTGGCAGCAGTTTGTCCTCGCTGCTGGTGTTGAGCCAAAGCCTGAAGGTTCATGGAAAGTCAGGAATGGGCTGCAGGGCCTCTAATTAGTCCTGAGCCTGCTGGGGGGTTAATTTGCCTTCAGCTGGAGCACGCAGGTCTCTCGAGTCTTGTCCTTGGCGTCAGGCAGTCATCGCTTATTAACGCAGAGGTGGGATCCAGCGCTCTCACCACAGACAGACAGACAGGCAGGCAGACAGACGTTCGTATCTGAGGGTATCGCCTCCAAATCCCTTTGCAGCCGGCGGAGACAGGTGCTCCCGAGGCAAACTGTGTCATCCCAGCACGGGCAGCTAAAACAGGACGGATGAATCACGCTCCAGAAGTAGCTGTTGCTCTTCGCTGACTGCAAAGGGTGCCTGGTTAGATCACACGGAGACGCCTTTGGGCTAGAGACAGGTGAAATTGGGCAAAATTAATCCTGCTCAAAGAATGAGAGAGCCACAGCCTCGAACACAGTGACAGACCAACAGATTCCCCCAGGAGACACTACAGCTTCAAGCCAGCGCTACGTGGTGCCTGAGCCTGTCTTTGCTCACCAAGAAGAAGAAGTACTGCCTCATAAATACTATTTACAGCAGTTTGCTTAAATTAGGATTAACTTCTTGAGGGGGAGGTAGAAGAGAAAGAGATAAGAGACTTCATACTGCGGGAGCTAAAGGTATCGTCCTTCCCGGCCGCCTTCATCCCCTTCAGTTGTAGGACAGGTACCGGATTAATCGGGGAGGAATATTGAGCTTGGCAATCTTCTCCAGCGCTCGCTGCCCGGCGGCTTTCCTCACCGTAACCCTGCAGAGCTGTGACAAGCTCAGAGGCGTTTCTAAAACGAGAAAAAGAGGAGCTGAAGTCAGGATCTGCAGCTCAGCTCCCTTCAGAATCTGCAACCATCCTGGATCTAGTCTCAAGTTTAATGACACAAATCAGAAGATTTTAAGAAAAACAAACCCAACCCAAAACTAACGCAGCCAGCACAGTGCTGTTACAAGAGAAGAGAAGAGAAGAGAAGAGAAGAGAAGAGAAGAGAAGAGAAGAGAAGAGAAGAGAAGAGAAGAGAAGAGAAGAGAAGAGAAGAGAAGAGAAGAGAAGAGAAGAGAAGAGAAGAGAAGAGAAGAGAAGAGAAGAGAAGAGAAGAGAAGAGAAGAGAAGAGAAGAGAAGAGAAGAGAAGAGAAGAGAAGAGAAGAAAAGAGAAGAGAAGAAAAGAGAAGAGAAGAGAAGAGAAGAGAAGAGAAGAGAAGAGAAGAGAAGAGAAGAGAAGTCAAGTCAGAGGAAGAAGGGGCTTTAAGGTGCTCACTATGCAAAGGTCTACAAAGACAGGAGATATTTTATCAGAGGTGATTCTCCCCCTTTGCTCTGCTCTTCTGAGACCCCTCCTCGAATACCACGTCCAGTTCTGGTGTCCCCAACCATAAGAGGGACATAGATCTGTTCGAGCGTGTTCAGAGGCCACAAAGTGACCCAGGGGCTGGAGCAGCTCTGCTCCGAGGACAGGCTGAGTGAG